CCTTGTACACAGTTGCATGTACAATACTTTTATACGACTGGCAGTGCAGTCAGTTTGTTTATACCAGAACCATCACAGACATGAGAGTAATGCGTGGTGCTGAAATGTTACGATGGCTACACCATCACTAGGCTACACCATCGCTAGGCTACAGGAATTTCTCAACTCCATTTTAATTGTACGGGGTCACTGTCCTAAATTTGGTCTGTTCTTGATAAAATGCTGTTATGCAGAGCATGACTGTGCATCACTTTTGTGTTTACAAAGTACACCTACATAGATCATCTTGTTTAACCGGCAAAACAATTCTGTAAGTTAGGATGGGCAGAAATCTGCTTCATTGTTTTACAGGGATGTGTACTGAGGTTCAGAGACTTACTGTGAGTCACACCTAATAAATGGTTACTCCAGAACTCTAATCCATATCTCCTGGCCCCCAATCCATTGCTGACTCTCCCACATTGCAATTAATTCCTCAGCTCTTAGATGCTTACTGGTCAGAAAGGAAGTGTAAAAGCATACGTGTGACTACTTATTACAGGCTAAAAAAATAATATATTTTATGAAACAGCTCAAATTATACTGTTGGTTGAAGCAATTTTCTCCAAGCCTAATAATATGTGTGTAGAAATTCTTTTTTTAAATGATAAAGATGTGGGGTACAATCCAGGGTCAGGTATACAAACGCTGATTATGCAGATACCCTTGTTGATGAGGTGTGCCCCTTCCTCCCCTAGCAGTCTCCCTCAACTGCCCCTCTCACCCCCTTCCCTGACAGTTTCCCGCTACTGCCAATCTCTTTCTTACAGTATTATGATAATTGTTCAAGGTCTGTCTTGAGTGAGAACATATGGTAGTGAGTAGAAATTTTGTAGCTAATATTTTTTGAGAACCTAGTACAAGCTAGGCACTATGCTAAGTAAGCCTTTTACATATACTCCCATGTAATAACTACGAAGTAGGTGTTGTTACTTCATCTTAGAGAAGAGGAAACTGATCGTCAGAGAGGTTAAGTCACTAGCCCAAGGCCACACAGCCATGCAGTTGAAGCAGGACTCAATGAAGGGTCTGCCTGGCACCAGAGCACATGCTGTCTCCATTGCTATGCTGTTCACATCGCCGCAGTGATATCTCTGACATTTGCCCCACCTCTCATTCAGAATCCCAGCCTTCCAAATGTGTCCCCAAATTCTTTTTTTTTTTTTTTTGAGTTGGAGTCTCACTCTGTCGCCCAGACTGGAGTGCAGTGGCCACTCCCGGCCACTGCAGCCTCGACCTACTGGGCTCCGGAGATCCTTCCGCCTCAGCCTTCTGAGTAGCCGGAATTACAGGCATGTGCTACCATGCCCGGCTGATTTTTGATTTATTGTAGAGATGAGGTCTCGCTGCCCAGGCGGGTCTCGAACCCGCGGGCTCAGGCAATCCACTCACCTCAGCCTCCCAAAGGCACGGGATTACAGACTGAGCCACCGAGCCCGGCTGTCCCCAAATTCTTAAGGGTATCCCAAGGAGGTGTCTAACATGTGTCCTCCAAGTCAGCACTCCTGTCAACTCTCGGTGTCATCCGCCAATTTTTTATGCTTTTCCTATTCCAGCTCACAAAAACTAGAAATGAAATATTGGGCAGTAATCTCCTATGGTGAGTTTGCCAATAATAACAAAGACAGGACACACCAACAGCACCACCACAAGTTTATTTAGTTCATCACTTGATTTGGAAGTTGGATGTTTGAAGTGAAAAGGGATTAGGGAGTTGAAGTGAAACCTCTCATCTGATCACTCTTTAAAGCTCCTGCCTACTTGGGGCCAACTGTCACTTTCCTGAGACTCACATCCTTTAACTGCAAAATGGAAATAAGGCCACCTGCTTCATAGGACTGTGTTGGGCCTTGAACAAAATATAGTATGTAAAGCATCTGATATAATGTTCAGCACCTCTGGAAGCTAAAATAAAATGATAGCTTCTACTTACCCAAATCCCTGTTCTGTATGAATAGCCTCTCCTATTATTGGCAGTTAGTCAATAAACTAGTATTTGTTGAGTGATTATAAAATTCAAGCAAGTTCTTTTATAGAAGAGTGTGAAAATTACAAAAAAGAGCCAGGCTCGGTGGCTCAGCCTGTAATCCCGCGCCTTTGGGAGGCTGAGATGAGTGGATTGCCTGAGCTCACGGGTTTGAGACCCGCCTGGGCATGAGACCTCATCTCCACAATAAATAAAAAAAATCAGCCGGATGTGGTAGCGCACGCCTGTAATTCCGGCTACTCGGAAGGCTGAGGCGGAAGGCTGAGGCGGAAGGATCGTCGGAGCCCAGCAGGCGAGGCTGCGGTGGCCGGGAGCGGCCACTGCACTCCAGTCTGGTCAATAGAGTGAGACTCCAACTCAAAAAAAAAAAAAAAAAAGAAAGAAAGAAAATTACAAAAAGATTAGATATCACTTGCATAGGATTTTTAATGCAAATTAGTGTAATAAGGTCAACATATAATTATACTTGGACAAAATATTGTTTTGTCAAAATTTTCTCTGTATTGGTATTTGTTCTAAAAGGATGATAGTGGCTTGTGCACGGCCTAAACAATTTGAGCACTTTTCAAAAGGAGATGTAGGCGGGGCTCAGTGGCTCAGCCTGTAATCCCAGCACTTTGGGAGACAAAGGCGAGTGGATTGCCTGAGTCCACGGGTTCGAGACCGGCCCAAGCAAATTGGCAAGATCTCATCTCTACAATAAATAAAAAAATATAAAAAAATTAGTCGGGCGTGGAAACGCATGCCTGTAGTTCTGGCTGCTTGGAAGGCTGAGGCAGAAGGATTGTGGAGCCCAGCAGGTCGACGCTGGGGTGGTTGTGAATGTGCCAACTGCACTTCAGCCTGGGCAAGGGAGTGAGACTCCAACTCAAAAAAAAAAAGGAAATGTAGACCAAGTCATTTGTCAGCTGTCTGATAGTGTGAGCAAAGCCCCCATAACCTTGCCTGAAAAAACTGTGAAAACGTTTAACAAGGAAAACTGACACAGAACCCCAATCAGCCATCCTGAGAATTTCTCAAGAGTCTGATTGGCCAGTGGCAACCAGTCAGGACCCATAGTCCTCGGTGGTCCTAGGGGAGCTGCCAGTGTGAGGGGATGGTGAGGTGTCAAGGAGGGAGAGATCGTCCAGGCTTGACACAGTGCTCCATAAAGAGTGGGGCTTTCTGGACTGTGTGTTCACTTTGTCTCAGAGGGTGATTCCTGGTTCCCTTTTAGTCAAGTTGTTTCAAATTGACAGAGACTAGAGCTTTCTCACCCCTGACTTCTTTTTCTCAAGTAGGAGGTCAGCATGACTCAAAAAGTTTCCTTTCTATTATGAGAGGCATTGAGTCTGTAGAAACACTTTGAATGTGAATTACTCAACTGAATTTTCAGGCAATTTCTTCTTACTTTGTCTTTTCTTTGACTGTACTTTCCAATGACCTGTTATATTTTGCTAGAAAGAAATGATCTCCATTAAAAAAAAAAAAAAACACAAGTACAGAAGGCTAATTATTTTCTCCTCTCCAATTAGGATGGGCTAAAATATTTTTAAACGCAAAAGCAACAACAAAAAAAACCTTTCAGTCAGATTTGTTACCTGGATGGTTTTTCTTATTTTTTTCTTTCTCTCTTCTTTTTTCTTTTCTCCTTATTTGTTTATTTATTTATTGTTTGGCAGTGTTGAGTGTCTTCGACCATTTTATGCTGATCAACAAAATACCACAGACTGGGCAATTTATAAAGAACAGAAATTTAGTTTCTTGCAGTTCTGGAGGCTAGAAGTCCAAGGTCAAGGTGCCAGCAGGTTCAGTCGTCTATTGAAGGCTGCATCCTCAGAGGGGAGGAACACTGTATCCTCACAGGGCAGAAGGACAAGTTACCAATCAACAGCTGTGTGAAGCTTCTTTCATAGGGGCCTTAATCCCATTCATGAAGGAAGGCACCCTCATACTCTAATCACCCCTAAAAGGCCCCATCTCTTAATACTATCACAGTGACAATACCTGGATTTCAAAAAGGACACATTCAAACCACAGCACCAAGTACTTTGATATTGGACTGTGCGATTACTCCTAGAGAACCCCTAAATAACCATAGGATTTAAAGTGGCAATTCATTAAGGTTGTTTACGACTGTTTGTTATACCTTCTGTCACAGAGGTCTTAAAAGTATTTGGTAAAAATAATGCAGGCAAAGAAGATTAAAAGTACATTCTAGGGCCAAGCATGGTGATTCACATCTGTAATCCTAGCACTTTGGGAGACTGATGTAGGAGGATCACTTGAGCCCAGGAGTTCAAGACCAGCCTGGGCAATACAGCAAGACCTCGTCGCTACAAAAAATAAAAATATTAGCTGGGTGTGGTGGCATGTGCCTATAGTCCTAGCTGCTCAGGAGGCTGAGGCAGAAGGATCACCTGAGCCCAGGAGGTCAAGGTTGTGGTGAGCCAGGATCGCACCACTGTACTCCAGCCTGGCCAACAGAGTGAGAGCCTGTCTCAAAAAGCAACCAAAAAGTAAAAAGCACACTGTAAAGTTCATTGGTGGCTTCATGTGTAAACCACAGGTCAGACACCAAATAACAGGAATAGCTGATACACAACCTGGGACTGAAAGATGAAATAAATATGCCACTTAAAATATGAGCAAGGGGGGCAGTTAGGAAAGAACAATTCAGACACACGAAAGCGAGAAGGACCAACTCTTGACTGTCTCCACTCCCACCCCTCACTTACAGGTGATTCCTCACCAATCCCTGTGTTTTTGTAGCCTGTGACTTGCTGTAGAGTCCAGCTCCCCAGCCAAGGTCATCCCCTGAGACCCTTTCCTTGAAACCGGCCCTGAGTGCTGAAGGTGTGTCTTTGCTTCCCCAGGCAATCGGTGGAACCATGGGGCTGAGTCATGTCTGGCCACAGCAGCCGCGGCTTGCATCCCTGGGCACTGAGGTCTGAAACTCGACCCTGGCAAGGACCAGCCCGACCTCCTGGAGGAAATGACTGAGCCGCCTCACCAGCAGCAGATGAAAACTTCCTTCCTCTTCATCCAGCTGCAGGCTTTCCCTGCCCGCGCTCTCCCCACCCAGTCTCCAGCCGCGGCTGCCTCCACAGCAGCCCCAGGGGGCCTGGAGGCGGGACACAGTTTCCCAAGTCCCAGGACAGGCTTCTTGGCAGGCCGGGACCTCGGGCGCACGCAGGGCTTGGCGGCTCCTCCTTCCAGCCTGCTGCAGAAGGGAGGCCCTGGGACCGAGGGACCGGCTGCTTTCACTTGCTCTGCTCCGGGGGAAAAGAAGGCCGGGGACGGAAAACCCCGGGAGCGGGCAGGAGGCAGGAGCGGGGGCTGCCGATGCCCGCATCGCGGGCATCGCCTGGCCCCTGCCTCTGGGAAACTCGGCCGGCTCTTGCTCCCGCCATGCCAGCTTCCTAGCCCAGCTCCCGTCATGAGCGATGGGAGCAGCAGTCGCTCCATGGGCTGGGAGCACTGGCCGGGCGCTTCTGCTCCCCAGGACCTGGGGGACTCGCAGCCCCGGTGCAGCGATGCCCTGGGATGCTCCATGGCTCAGGCCTCCCCTGCCCACGCGGCTGACCAGCAGGAAAGGGCTCTGCTGAGCAGAAGTGCCGCCACCCACCGGGTATCCCTGCGGAGCTGTGAAGAGGACACAGGTACCACAGTGAGGGCCACCAGGGCGCGGCTCTGCAGGTACTGCCCAGAGGTTCAGACCAGCAAGGGCTGCCCAGCGCCACCTGCCACTCTGCCTCTCAAGGTAAGAACTTGCGTGTGCCCGAGTCCCCCAGACTCTGGCTGTCCCACCAAAGAAAGGGAGCAGGGGACTGACCGGCCGTCACGGCCCCCAGTTTCTACCCCTGCGACTCCCCCTCGAGCCACACCTGGTCAGCACAGGTGCCCACCACCCACAGTCTTCTTGGGCCCGGCCTGGGCTCTGTTCTCTGTGCTCCACCACCTGCCTGGCCACGGTCCACATTTTGTTTGGCAAGCGATAATGAATAACTATTTCCCAAAAAGTAAGGGAAGGAAGGGCATCCTTTGTAGGTGAAGACCAGAGGGAAGGACAAAGGAGGTACCCAGGCATGTACTGGGCCCTGGGATGTGGTAAGCATCTTCTCACATCTCATTAGTCCTCATAACCACTCAGAAATAGAGGGTCACGTCTCTAATTTCAGACGAGGAACGTGAGAAATGACCCAGCAAACAACCTCTTTTTCTTACAAAAACACAAGGGCCACATCAAAGGCTATTCTCCCGAATGGGCATCGAGGACAAAGAGGGAGGCTACAGTAAGTTGAAGTTTCCAGAACTGGAACGCAACCACACTCTACTGTCATCCATGAACACCTGACTTTCTAGCGTCCACGTCTACCTCTCACCCCTAACTCCCAACCCCCGACTATCACCACCGAATGGATGTGCAGCCCAGCACAGGGGCCTCCCATCAGGAGGGAAAGGCAACCCTGCACAGCTCTAAGGGCTGTGCCTCTGATCACGGCTGTGCCTGCTCTTTGTTGCTAGCCTCTTGCTCTTTTCACCTCTGGCCCCACCTCCCCATCATGCTGGTGCCTGAAGAACCCTTCTCCACCAAGCTCAGAGCACTGTTCTCAAAATGAGTGAACAAAACTTAACATTATGCATCGGTCTTCCCTTTCCCAGATAGACCCCTTGCTATATACTTTAGATGTGCATGAGCATGAGGGTGGAGGTGAGGAGGAATTGGGGAGGGTGGGATGAAATAGAAGAAGGAGCCGGGCTCAGTGGCTCAGCCTGTAATCCCGTGCCTTGAGAGGCTGAGGTGAGTGGATTGCCTGAGCCCGTGGGTTCGAGAACTGCCTGGGCAGCGAGACCTCATCTCTGCAATAAATCAAAAAATTAGCCGGGCATGGTAGAGCGCACCTGTAATTCCAGCTACTTGGAAGGCTGAGGTAGAAGGATCGCTGGAGCCCAGCAGGTCAATGTTGCTGTGGCCAGGAGCGGCCATTGCACTCCAGTCTGGGTGACAGAGTGAGACTCCAACTCAAAAAAAAAAAAGAAATAGAAGAAGAAGGAAGTACTCTTGTTGGAATATGTGGAAGGTTATCATGGAGGGGTCTGTCAGGGCAGTCACAGGAAAAAGGGATGAAATCCACAACATCAGAAAGGGGCCTTCCTTGGGACTCAGAGGTGCTGATGCTTCACCTGGATTCCGTGTTTCCTTCCTGCATGCTTCTACACGCCATCCGTCCCTTTTTCTCTTCTTAACAGGGGCCTGCACAACCACAGTTAAGAATCAGGGAGAAAGAATAAGTCCCAGTTCTGTCCAGAAGGGAACTCTTGGAAGAAGAGATGCTAGCATGCTTCCTTAAGAAATAGTTGACATTCCATCCTAATTCTCGTATCTCTCATTTCCTACAGGGATTTAGAAGGAATGACATATCCTTGCGTCAGAGCCCATCTCTGCATGTGGGGTCATACAGTAGTTGTTTGTGTACTTTAATGCTGGTTTAATGACTTGAAAACACCATCTTTTCCCACTCCCGCCTCCCACCTCCAGGAGACAGGCCAGAGCTTCAGAACTGCTGCCGTCTCTCTGGGGAGAGGCGCTTTGGGAGTTGGTCCATGTGTGTATCCCGGCCTTGTCAACTTATTTAGCTCCCTCAGTAAATGGGTCCCTAAGACATCTGCTCCATCTAAACCTAGGACTGCAGAATTCCTAGCTAAAAAGTTAGAAGGCCCAAGCCCAAGTCCTTACCTAGAGCAAGCCATCAGAACTTTCTGAGTCTTGGTTTTCCCATCTTGAAAACATCAACAATGGCCCTTGCTTCACAGTTGCTATAGAATTTCGCTCAGAGGCCCTGTCTTAAGGAAAAGAAGAAGAGAAACAAAATCAGTGGGACACCAGGTAGGACCAGGGAAGTGAGGGTTGTGGGTATAGAGTGGAGTGAGGGTTGTGGGTATAGAGTGGGAACATAGAGACTGGCAAGGGAGTAGAATTACAAAAGGCTATCCATGACCTTGCTGGTCAGACACTGTGATTTCCCTCTGCCATGGGGAGAGTGGGAAACCTGGGAAATTAGCTCTCTTAAACATGCAAGTCTTTTGAATGCCTTGTGACTGTTATTAAACAGGTGACATCTGCCCAGTGTTAGGTGTTAGAAAAAGGAGCAAAAATAGCAGAGAGAGTTTTTTCCATCTGTATGACCCTGGGCCAGATTAAGGTGCCATCTAGACTTGTCAGATTGGTGTATGGGAATTACCTAATCCTTTCATGTTTTGGAATTTAGCTATATGATTTGTAGCAAAGTGGCAAAAGGCTGATTAGAATATCTTCTTGTCTACTGTGGACGATGAAACCCTTGATCACCCACAATGGCACCTTTCAGTTGACTGACTCATGGAAAATGTGATCCCTTATATTTGTGAAAGTGAAATGCTGGTTACATGGAAGTAAACTCGACTGTTACATGTATATTATAGGATTGAGGTCCTTGTGTCAACTATCTAAGGAGAAAAAAGTCTAGGTCTTAAGAGTAAACTTTCTTGTTTGTTAAATATATTCTTTCAATGTTGAAACATCATGGGCTCGCAAGTAAAAATTGTTGATGTACATCTCTCCCAGTATCATAAGGAGTGAATGCAGCAAATGAAATCAGTTGATTCTTAATTTAGTGTATGACTGGGCTTTAATAAAAAGAACCATAATACTCTACGATCTAGAAGGCTTTCATTGCACTTTCCTCTTAATAAAAATCTCAGAATTCTATGAGGATGTGCGCTATTATCACCCCCACTTCACTGATGAAGAAACGATGCTTGAGATGGTCAACAACTCGCTGAGACTCAAGACTAGAACGTGGCAGCTCAGGGCCCAGCCCTCAGGTAGTTCACTCCGAAGCCCAGGCTCTTTCTACCTCCTCTTGCTGTCTTTCTAGCTGGTGACGTTTCCTTGGAAGATAACCTGGCATTTTCTGAGGCCTGGTGGTCTACACTGCATGTCGAATTTCTCTGGTGAAGAATGCAGGAGAAGGATCTTCAGGAATATAGATCTAGTGAAGGTGCCTTGTGTGAATGAGTACAGCTGACTTTCTAGAAGCAGTGAAGGCCTGGGTGTGGAGGGCGTGGAGTTTCAGCTCAGGGCAATGCCAGCGGAGGGCTCTAACTTTCCCTGTGGTTAGTCAGTGTGAATCAGAGAATGTTGCATGATTTGGGGCCAGGGCCTGCCCTCACCATCTCCTTGGCCCCATGTGCTACTGCCCCTCTGTGGGAACCCAAGGAACTGTCAACGTTTGATCTGAGTTTAGGGCTAAAGATATGAAGACAAGGAAAACAGAATCAACTCAAAAGAGAGGGGAAAAAAGCTTTCTCTATGATCCTTTGGAAAAATGTCCACATATTAAAAAAACTTTTTTACTAGGTCTTCATAACTTACATATTTTATGTCTTAAAATAGCAGTGACGTTTGCTATATAAACTGCCTTAGAAAATTAGTAGTAAATATTTCTTAAAATTGTCCCCCAAAATGCCATTTTTACAAACTTACAAAATTTTCACCTATAGCTTTACATTTACCCCCAAATTTCCTTCTCTACTTTGGTCTTCCTTTTTCCTTTCTTCCCTCACCATAAGTCCTCAAAACCAATCAGCTGTTTGACTTCCATCACCAACCTCTAAGTGTGTTCAGGGTTCAGAAGACAGAATGAAAATGAGAAAAACAGCCAAGAAATCAGCAGAAGGTTTGTGTGTGTGAGAGAGAGAAAGAAAGGATTGGCGCATTATTCATTAATCTAATAAATGGAAACTCAGCATTGGTCTATTTTCTTATAGACAGACCCTGTCTAGTAGACTAGAAAAGTAAGTTCTAACTCTCTGTGTCTTGGATTGTCATTCCTTAAAAGAAAACTAATGTCTGAATGTAAGTCTGTAAAGTATATTAACTTTTTGGTAGAAAGTTTTTGTTTAATTCAAGAGATAAAAAAGAAGCTTTGATTCTATCAACCAACTAGTTCCGTGGCCTCTGACAACTCAATGAACAAAAAGTTAGCTTATCTCACTTGCTTTTGGAAGTCAGTTCACTTTTAACATTCTACAATATCTATAAATCCGTGAATCCAAAAAGGGAATGAAACTGTCTAATGAAATAAAGGTATTAAAACCAATTTTTTCTTAATGTTTAATTTTTTAAAAATGTTTGTAGAGATGAGATCTCATTATGCTACCCCAGCTAGTCTCACACTCCTGGTCTCAAGTGATCCTCTCACCTCAGCTTCCCAAAGTGCTGGGATTACAAGGCGTGAGCCACTCTATGCAGCCAAAACAATTTTATTTCATATTTCTCAACTTGCCTCTGAAGATGAACTATTTGCTCAGATGATTTTACTATAGGAAACTTACATATAGAGTGGGCTTACCTTTATTGGGGAGAACTGGGATTTCAGTGACATGAACTAGGAATTCAGAGATATGAAAGAGTCAGTGCCTTCTCTGAGCAGTAACACAAATTCTTACCACATTACTTTACGACCAGGATTGCAAGATGTCTATCCACTATTGATTGATATTTCCTTCTCTGACAAGATATTAGTTAAGTGAAATTTCCTTCTGCAAGCTTCACACTGATCCACAGATCTACTTAACCCCCAGAAAGCAGTCATTTGCCTCATCTGGGCTCCACACTTCATTACCCAAGCCCATTTGACTTTTCTGGCCTGTCTTAGGTTTAGAAACTGTTCTGCTCACAAAATAGTATTTTAGATAATTCTGTCTTACATTATTCCTTCTCTGTGAGTAATTTAGAATTTTTAAAAACCTGCTAGAACAAAGAGAGAGCATGCACACATGCTCATATAGAAATTTTAACAGTAATATAAATTAAGTGTGCAGTGAAGCAACCCTTTTAAAAAAGATTCTGGTATTTAGAAGACAGTATTGATTGGATTGAAAAGCTTATCTTTAGTTCATTTGACGCTACATTGGTTTTGACACAGATACCTTGATTTATTACTCGAATAAATAAAGCTTGAGATAGCAGAACTGGTTTCAATTCCTTTTCATTTGTGATTTGCCTTGGTGTTCCCATGACAACGTTCCCCTTGGTCCTTTTCTCTTCTTACTCTTTCCTCCAGCATTCACACACAGAAGTCCTGTGGATCGTTGTATAGGTGCTTTACTCATGGAATTACATACACCTTAGCATCTCAATCTACCTGTAGAAAGAAGAGGGCAGAGATTGCATGAGTGACTTTACACAGAATAGCAATTGAATCGGGAGCTGGGACCTAGGAACTCAAGGTAGCGGAGAGAGGCCAAATGTCTTTACTCTGGGTCTTAATATCTTATCTGTCATGTGAAAAGGCTAGACTCTTTGGTTTCCTACCTTCCAGCTCCTTGACTGTAAGTCAGTTCTTGCCAATTCATGTGTGCCTATGCTTGTGAAAATGCAACCAAAGTTATAGCTGTTTATGGCAAATTTCTAAAAGTCCATCATATTGGGAGGTCTCTGTATTTGAGAAACTTTTTTATTGATAAAACTGGATGTTTCTCCAGTGTCCCTAGGATAAACAGAAACTAAAAAAATTATTAAAAATTGTGTGCAAGTTGGACAGGGTGGCTTATGCCTGTAATCCCAGCACTTTGGGAGGCAAAGGCGAGAGGATTCTCTGAACCCATGGGTTCGAGACCAACCTGGGCAACTTGGAAAGACCTTGTTTCTTCAATAAATCAAAAAATTAGATGGGTGTGGTGGCGCGTGCCTGTAGTCCCAGCTACTTGGAAGGCTGAGGTGGAAGGATTGCTTGAGCCCAGTAGTTAGAGGATACAGTGGCCGTGAGCGTGCCACTGCACTCCAACCTGAGCAAGAGTGAGACTTCTATTAAAAAAAAAATTGATTGCCAATAAATACACAATTTTCTAATCTCATGTGTTAAATTAGGATTGGCTTGCAAGATTTGGATACAAAGATTGAAGATGAGTGTTTACACAAAAAGGAGTTGTGGGGTTTTTTTTCTTCTCCTTTTATACTAAAAAGAAAGACACAGACTTGCTGAAAGTGATTAGTTTTGTTTTCAGTGTGTTGAATCCAATATTCAACAAAGGGAATACTGAAAAATCAGTTCCAGCCAGTAATTAAAGCTGAATGATGAAGAGACTTGTTCTCACTTGCTGGAATCAGTTCCAACAGATTGTCTCAGTTTAACTTTAAAGTTTTGTACCCTTGAACAATAATCTTCTATCACTTGGAGATTTAGTTAGGACTCTTGGTGATGTATAATTGAAACCCTAGAGGCTACTTAATCCCAAATGAGGAAGATTCATTATAAGAACACATGTGTGTAAGTATAGGGTCTTGTAGAACCCAAAGACGGAGATGAAGACTGGGCGCAGTTGCTCACACCTACAATGCCAGCACTTTGGGAGGCTGAGGTAGGAGGATCGCTTGAGTCCAGGAGCTCAAGACCAACCTGGGCAACATAGTGAGACCTCGTGTCTACAAAAGTTTTTTTTAAAAAAGACAGCAATGCAGACAGACCTTGGGACCCATGGACCAGGGGCTCCAATGTGTGAGGTCTCTTTTGTTCATTGCTCCTCTCTGTTGTCCTCTGCCCCTTCCTTTCATCTTCTCTGCATCACTCTTTCTCTTTCTCACATCTGCTTGGTCTACTCCCAATTCCACAGGGAGGAATATGGTCACCACAGTTCCCAGGCTTACATTCCTTCTTATTAGAAAACTCTCCAGACTAAGACTGGAATCCCTTAGACCTGATATCCAACTCTGGGAAAAGACTCATTTGTCCTTCGTGGGACAGTATGTACCCAGTCTGTTATGGCAGGTGTGGGGCGGGTGCAGCTTAGATTGTATTATCAGGTGTGCTGAGAGCCTATATAGGTCTGGGAAAGAGACAATTCCTAGAAACTGATGAGAAATGGAAAAGAGAAGAGTAAATATGGACAGCCAGTCCTACAAATGCCCAAAAACCACTTTTTTTTTTTTTCAGGGAGTTGCCAACTAAAATTACAAAGCTATTGCCCTGTATAAATGTTCTATCTGAGCCCCTTCAGATTTCAGGAAGCCAGATTGCATAACTTTTTATTTATTTATTTGTTTATTTGCATCAGTCTTGCTCTGTCGCCCAAGCTGGAGTGCAGTGGCATGCTCATGACTATCGCAACCTCAACCTACTGAGCTCAGTCTTCCAAGTAGCTGGAACCACAGGTGTGCTGCACCACGCCTAGCTAATTTTTTAAATTTATTGTAGAGACGAGGTCTTGCCAAGTTGCCCACATTGGCCTCGAACCCGTGGGCTCAGGCAATCCTCTTGCCTCCAACTCCCAAAGTGCTGGGATTACAGGTGTGAGCCACCACACCCAGCTGCGGGGGATTTTTTAAAAAGCATTCCTGAACAAAGTAATGTATTCGAATCAAATCATTGCCTGATGTGATTTATAAATAGATTTGCTTTCACAATTTGATACTGGTTATGCTATGACAAAAATTGCTCTTTTCGTCTTTTTTTCTTGTAGATTTTTAGAGACTATAAAATGCTACAAGATTTGCACAGTCTCTAGGTGAAAGTAGGTTGTATAGTGAGCAGATTACCATCATAGATTTTGCATGTGACCTATTCCACTTTATATCAGCTCCCTGGGGTTCCTGATCCAGTATTCCAGAAGTCAGAACAATAAAAAGGTTATAAACCAGATTTCTTGAATTGAGTTATACAGATTCCTTAAACTGAGCCATATCAATGCAAAACAAAATGGGCCAGCCGCAGTGGTTCACACCTTAATCTCAGCACTTTAGGAGGCTGAGGCAGGAGAATTTCTTGAATCCAGGAGTTTGAGACCAGCCTGGACAAAATAGTAAGACCTTGTCTCTACCTTGTCTCTACCAAAAAAAGTAGGCAGACGTGGTGCACACCTGTAATCCCAGTTACTCAGGAGGCTGAGGTGGAAGGATCACCTGAGCCCAGGAGGTTGAGTCTGCAGTGGGCCATGATCTTGGTACTGCACTCCAGC